GTCTTCAAAATCAGCTCATAAGTATCTAAAAGGCTCTGATGCTCCGAATACAAAGGGTTCTGGCCCTAGTATCAAGAGTAAAAAGGGTCGTCAAAATCACAAACATCAATAATGTCAGGGTTCTTCTGGAATGTGTGTGGATTTAACCAATCAGAAAAACATTCCATTGTCAAGAGGTGGGTACAAGAGAGTTCATTTCAGTTTGGATGTCTACTGGAAACACGAGTCAAAAAAGTAAGGCATCAAACATAGTTTCAACGGTATTTCTTAATTGGTCTCTAATGACCAATTACGAATACAATCAACGAGGGAGGATATGGGTAGTCTGGAAAGAAGGGGTTAAACTTACACCAATATTCAAGAGTGATTAAGTGATCACAGTTTCGGTCCTACTAGCGGGACAAGAAAAAAATTTCTTATGCTCCTTTGTTTACGCGCTAAATACGAAGGAAGAGCGAAGGGATCTCCGGGAGGACCTTTAGAGTCATCATGACTCTGCTATGTTTTACCGAGAAAAATTGGATGGTGATGGGTGATTTCAATGAGATTCTAGCAGGGGATGAGCATTCCCTCTATGCGAGCTCCCTACATATCTCACAAGGAACTAGAGACTTTCAAAACTTATCACGACATTCCATGCTTGAGGACTTACACTTCTATCGACCTAAATTCACTTGGTGCAACAAGCGTGAAGAGGGCTTGATATGTAAGAAGTTGGACCGTGTACTTATTAGCGAGGAATGGCTTCAAGTTTTTCCAGACTCGTATTGTGTTTTTGAGGCAGGAGATTGCTCAGATCATATGCGCCGTCGGATAATGCTTGAGCCGGAAATCCAGAGAGCGCGTGCGCCTTTTAAGTTTGTTAACATCCTAACGTCTCTATATGGCTTCATCCCGACGGTTGAGAACTACTGGCAATGCTCACCAGCTCTGTTCCACTCAACGTCGGCACTTCATCGTCTCTCAAAGAAGCTTAAGAGGCTAAAGCCTAAGCTCAGGGAATTACAGAGTGAAAAACTGGGTAACCTTTCCAAACAGGCCAGGGATCAACACAAAACTCTGTGTGATAAACAAAGTGAGAATCTCACAAACCCATCTGCGTTAGCTATGGCTGCGGAAAAGGAAGCATACGAACGATGGGCACATGTTGCAGACTTGGAGGAGCAGTTCTTGAAACAGAAATCAAAACTACACCGGCTGGAGGTGGGAGACCGAAACAACAAAACGTTTCACCGAGCCGCAATAACAAGGAAATAAAAAAAACTCGATAAAGAAAATTAAGGATCAAGATGGGGTGATTCTTAAATCTGGGATGGAAATTAAAGACGAGGCGGAGCGGTTTTTTTCGGGAGTTCCTCAACTTTTCTCCCCCTGACTTTGAGGAAGTCACCATAGAGCGACTCGAAGGCCTCCTAAGTTACCGCTGCACAAATGGTGACAAAATACAGTTAGTTTGGGAAGTAACACATGAAGAGGTGCGAAGTGTATTATTTGCAATGCCGAGTGATAAGTCTCCAGGACCTGATGGATACACCTCAGAAGTTTTCAAATCTGCTTGGGGAATAGTGGGTAAGGACTTCACAGTTGCGTTTCAGTCCCTTTTCAGAACAGGATTTCTGCCCACGGGTGTAAACTCTACCATTCTTGCTCTAATACCAAAGAAAGAGGACGCGATAGATATGAAAGGCTATAGACCGATCTCTTGCTGCAATGTTCTATACAAAGTCATCTCAAAAATCATGGCTAACAGGCTCAAAGCGATCCTCCCTGGTTTTATATTGTCAAACCAATCTGCATTTGTCAAAGGCAGGTTATTGATCGAGAATGTTTTGTTAGCAACTGAGTTGGTTAAGGACTATCATAAATCATCCATCTCTCCACGGCATGTGATGAAGATAGACATATCTAAAGCCTTCAACTCAGTACAATGGAGTTTTCTGATAAAGAATCTGCTAGCAGTGGGTATCCCAGATCAGTTTATTCACTAGATAATGCTCTGTGTCACCACCCCCTCATTCTCTATTCAAGTAAATGGAGAACTCGCATGGTACTTCCAGAGCAATAGGGGCTTGCGTCAAGGATGCGCTCTATTCCCATACCTGTTTGTCATTAGTATGCAAGTCCTGTCTATGCTTCTCAACAAACCAGCTGGAGATGGTAAATTTGGTTTCCATCCAAAGTGTAAGAACACAAAGCTCACCCATCTGTGTTTTGCTGATGACATCATGGTATTTTCGGATGGAAAGCTAAGATCAATGGAAGGTATTCTCACGGTGTTCGATGATTTTGTTAAGATATCTGGCCTCAACATAAGCTTGGAGAAATCCACATTATATCTAGCAGAGGTAAAGGATTCGGAAAGACTGGTCATTGAATCACGCTTTCCCTTTGATTATGGGTCTCTGCCAGTCTGCTATCTTGGTATGCCTCTGCTCACTAAGCGAATGAGTAAATCTTATTATGCTCCTCTACTTGAGAAAATCAGATCAAAGATTAGTACCTGGACATCACGATATCTCACTTATGCTGGCAGGTTGCAGCTTATAAGATCAGTTCTTGCCAGCATTACAAACTTCTGGATGGGCTCGTTTAGTCTCCCAAAGGCGTGCATTAAAGAAGTGGAGAGATTATGCGCTGATTTCCTATGGTCTGGTCCAGATCTTAATCCCCGGAAATAAAAAATGGCATGGGAAGATGTTTGTCGGGCGAAAGCAAAGGGTGGACTAGGTCTGCAGTTACTCTCGGAAGTGAACCTCGTTTGTAAGCTGAAACTAATCTGGCGAATCATGTCAACAAAGGACTCTATCTGGGTGGACTGGATACATGAACGTCTTATAGAACTCGAATCTTTCTGGTCAGTAAGATTCAAGCAAAATACGGGCTCTTAGATATGGCGAAAGCTACTGAAACTCCGACAGCTTGCTCAGCCTTTTCATACCATGAAAGTGGTAAGTGGAGCAATTACCTCCTTTTGGTATGATTCTTGGTCCCCAATGGGCAGACTGATTGACATTACAGGTGCAAGAGGGGTTATCGACTTGGGAATCTCCATTCATGACACGGTAGCATCTGTTTTTGACAATCACCGGCAAAAACGACATAGAAGTGAGACTCCTAACTCTATTGAGAGAATCATTCGAGAACAGAAAACTCAGCGTGTTGTAGAGGGAAAGGACAAAGCTCTGTGGCGCAGCCGAAATGGTTCAATCCAAAGTTTTGGTTTCAAGAGGTCTGGGAGCAGATCCGACAAGTAAAACAATCCAATACTTGGCATCGAGGAATTTGATTCCAACATGCTACTCCCAAGTTCTCTTTTTTGACTTGGCTTGCAGTACAGAATTGACTGACAACAGGTGTGAGAATGATGCAGTGGAACATGGAGATTTCAGGTGATTGTGTGCTATGTATGCAGGAGATAGAATTGAGAGATTACCTCTTCTTCTCATGCGAGTACACAAGCCACATTTGGGAGGCATTGACTCGAGGCATCCTTCTTAACCATTACACATCCACTTGAGATTTAGTGGTTAAGCTCATTTCAGATGGAATAACACCACTCATCGACATTTTTCTGCTTCGATATACTTTTCAAGCTGCCATCTCTTACATCTGGACTGAGTGGAATAACCGGAAGCATGGTAAGCCCTTCTTTCCGCGAAACTGGCTTCTTCAAACCATCGACAAAACGGTTCGAAACAGAATCTCTTTTATCCAACGACTAGATACGAGATAAGAACCAGTTCTCCAATATTAGTTTGTAACACTAATCTAACTCTCTCTAACAATGTAATATATAATAGTTTGCATTTCAAAGTGTAACTATGATTTTTTGGTTTGAATAACATTCACTTCCAAAAAAAAAAAATTTGGCCAAAAACAATCCCATTCGACTGATATAATATATTCCGAAAATATGTATCGCTTCTTCACTAATTATTATCTCAACTGTGGTCTAATTCTAAATTATATCAACAATTTATAGAAATGAATCTCCTGGCCAAACAAGTTCTGTAACTGTTCAAACATATTTCAAACTCTTTCTTCTTCTTAAATATATTTAAAAATACTTTAAACACATTTCTTTGTCTATTTTGTCGGCACCATATACACATTTTTAATCATACCACTATACAATTTCACACTTGTTCCGTAGAGCTAAAACGTAATTAACCATCTTGTGTCGTAGACCGGACCGACTCTGATCTTATATTCAATCAATGCTCTTTTTTATTATATTTTTTTGGACGAGCGAGAACGAAAAAAATTGAAACGGTGCGACTTTTAATCTTTTAAATCCCCCCACCACTAAAGCAAATTCCCCTCTCTCTCTTGACACCTCTACAAACCCAGAAAACTAGCCCTACAGAAAACACAGTAATAAATGTCTCTTTCTCCCCATGTGATCTTGATTTGACTTTTCTTCTTCTTCATCATTCAAAGTTAGGCTTCGATAAATTATCTCTTCCCTTATCTGGTTCTTTTTAACTTTCTTGAAACAAGAGAGAGAGAGATCACTTTTGGTGTTCTTCTTTATTTGCAACTCCTTCAGGCAATACTCTTGGTCTTTTCTTCTCTTATTGTTTCAATATTATGTTGATGATAATGCTTTGATTTATTTAAAAACCTTGTGCTTTTCTTTTAGTTTCTATTCATTTTACGATCTGGATTTAGAGATGAGAATACTCTTCAAATTCTATGTTCATTTTCTTTTCAAATCAATTGAAAAGTTTTTCTTTTGATTTTTCTCTCTCCATTTCTTAGGTCCATGATCTCATCCATGGAAGAGGACGAATCTAGTCTGCAACTAATTTATGGCTCCTCCTTATTTTTATTCATAAAGTTTAAATTTTTTATACGATCTGATGTACTTAATTGACTTTGAAATAAATCCCTTTTTATAGGAGGAATAAAGAAATCTAATAGGTTATTTTCTCTTGTGCAACCATCTCTCAGATTAAAGAAGTGGTTTGGCTCTGGTTCTTGTTTCTGCTAAGAGAAAGATGATGATGTTTAACGAGATGGGTATGTATGAAAACATGGATTTCTTCTCTCCCACACCTCTAGGAGAAATCGATGTGTGTCCATTGCCACAAGCTGAACAAGATCATCCAGTGGTTGAAGAAGATTACACAGATGACGAGATCGATGTTGATGAGCTTGAGAGGAGGATGTGGAGAGACAAAATGCGTCTGAAACGTCTCAAGGAGCAGCAGAGCAACAAGTGTAAAGAAGGAGTCGACGCTTCGAAGCAGAGGCAGTCACAAGAGCAAGCTCGGAGGAAGAAAATGTCTAGAGCACAAGATGGGATCTTGAAATACATGTTGAAGATGATGGAAGTTTGTAAAGCTCAAGGCTTTGTTTATGGTATCATCCCTGAGAAAGGCAAACCAGTGACTGGTGCTTCGGACAATCTCCGGGAATGGTGGAAAGATAAGGTCAGGTTTGATCGTAATGGTCCTGCAGCTATAGCCAAATACCAAGCGGAGAACAATATTGCAGGAGGGAGTAATGATTGTAATAGTTTGGTTGGACCAACACCACATACTCTTCAGGAGCTTCAAGACACAACTCTTGGGTCGCTTTTATCGGCGTTGATGCAACACTGTGATCCTCCACAGAGGCGGTTTCCTTTGGAGAAAGGCGTTTCTCCACCGTGGTGGCCTAATGGGAAAGAAGAGTGGTGGCATCAGCTCGGTTTGCCGAATGAACAAGGTCCTCCTCCTTACAAGAAGCCTCATGATCTGAAGAAAGCTTGGAAAGTCGGTGTTTTAACCGCCGTTATCAAGCATATGTCGCCTGATATCGCGAAAATCCGTAAGCTTGTGAGGCAATCGAAATGCTTGCAGGACAAGATGACGGCGAAAGAGAGTGCTACTTGGCTTGCCATTATTAACCAAGAAGAGGTCGTGGCTCGAGAGCTTTACCCCGAGTCATGTCTTCTTCTTTCGTCTTCGTCAGTGGGAAGCGGATCGCTTCTCATCAATGATTGTAGCGAGTATGATGTTGAAGGTTTTGAGAAGGAACAACAACCGAGTTTCGATGTTGAAGAGGGAAAACCAGAGATAGTGATGATGAATCCTGCAACAAGCTTTGGGGTTGGTAAAATGCAAATGCAGCAACGTTTTCCTGTTAAAGAGGAAGTTGCAGCCACCATGGGAAACTTTGAATTCGCGAGGAAGAGAAAGCCGGGCAATGATCTGAACGTTATGTTAATGGATAGACCAAGTTTCACTTGTGAGAATGGTCAGTGTCCTCATAGCAAAATCAATCTTGGATTCAATGACAGGAGCTCAAGGGACAATCATCAAATGATTTGTTCATACAGAGACAATCGCTTAGTGTATGGAATGAGACCAGTACAGTCACAAACCTTTCCTCAGTTAGTCCAACCTATCGACCTATCAGGCTTTGGAGTTCCGGAAAACGGACAGAAGATGATCACCGAGCTAATGTCCATGTACGATAGAAATGTCCAGAGCAATCAAAACACGACCAATGATGCAAAAGAAGCTCAGAATAATCAAGAACATCAGCTTTTCAACCGGAATCAGATGTTTATGCAACAAGGGAACAGTGGGATTCAAATGGTGTTTGATTCGACACCGTTTGATATGGCATCATTTGATTACAGAGATGATTGGCAAGCTGGAGTTATCGAAGGAATGGGAAAGCAGCAGCAAGATGTATCAACATGGTTTTGAATATAATCTCTTCTCTGTAAACATTCTTTATTATTAACTGTAAAACTCTGTTACTTAACTTGGGGGTTTATGTTTGATTGGGATCAACACTCTTCTATATTGTTGTTGATGATGATGATGAAGCCTTCTTTTTCTTTTGGTTGTGTGAAGTCAGTTAACTCTTCATGTTTTAATAACCTCATTATTCATTTGGTCATATATGTGAAAGCTATTTGAGAACAATGATAGAGACAAATAAATATATCTCACTTTTAGAATTTTTCAGTTTATAAACATTCCAACTGATAAATTTAGCTAAATATTATTTTATGCATGAGTAACCAAAATGAGCATATAAACCTGTCACTTTTGTTGGTTGTTCACTAGTAAAGTCAATTCAACAATCAATATTTTAATAAATAAACACATGGCTTAGATATAATGTTAGGGTTATGAAAAGCATATTTTATACTTATAAGTTATCTTTTTCTTTATCTTTTAATTTTGTTTAGTCAAACTCCATTAAATATTATTAACAAACAGGTTGTGTAAGGTTGCCAACAATTGTCGGCTGCTGTGGCCTCTTAATCGCCGTAGGGAAATTCTAATCTAATTTTTATCCACATTGTAAAACCCAAAATTGGATATTATATAATAAGGTGAAAAAGGCAAAATTGTTTTGGAGGTAAGAGAAGACAAACGTTGTTGTCTCCTTTAGTTGTGGACAACCCATGTGATGAGCTTTGTCAAACCCCACCACTCTTTAGTCTCTTCATTGCCAAATCTGACTACATTCATCCACCCGTTTTGTTTGTTTATTATTATTCGTTTTTAACGTCGTAGATAGGATAATGCAGCAGCACATAATATAGTTGCCAACTTCTGATCCTAATAGCTTCTCAACGATTTCAGATAAGAATAAAAATGATGAACAAGAATTTCTGGTGTATAATAATAGATGGGTATTTTGGTTTAATTCGGTTGATTTATATTCGATTTCTATTTGGTTTGATATTTTTGTTTTACAAAACACAAAATGAAGAAAAACATAGAAAATTAGGAATCAATCCCAAAAGTTTTGGAGAAATTAAAATTTTTTTTGATACTATTCGGTAATAAATTTCGGGATGTTATGTGGAGGTGTGTGATTCGTCGGGCTTGAAACTGAACCTTCGAGATCTGTTTTCTGAGGGAAAAAGCGGCGAGTCATCGTTCCGGGGCGAAAGCTTCCTGTCTGGAGGTGATGTGATGAACATCGTATTTGGTTCTGTAAACACTTAAACAAATGTTAGGCGAGCCTTCAGGAGGACTGGAAGGGGGTTTTCCTCCCTAAGATTCTCCGATGTCCAAGTTAGTGGACATCTTACCGGGAACAAATATTCGAAAGGGAAGTTTTTTACGGGTTGGTCGTGAGAAGTTTCGTCTGGGGATCGAGGTTCATATCTGATTTAGAGTGTTTTAAAAGAGGTTTCTACTCCTGGAAGGGAAAACGAAGCGGGTACAAAGGCGAGGTTCCGAATTAGAGATAAATTAACCTGGTCGGCATTCACCCGAGATGAACATAAAGTTCACCCGTGATCTTGCTGTATGGCCGGGGCGACCGCCTTAGATATCAGACGAAACCCTCTCTTTCTCTTTATCACTCTCTCCCTTTTTTTTTCTGCCTCTCGGCCCTCTCCGGCCGCCTCGGCCCCCCTTCTTTCGAAGGGTTTGCCTCTTATTTATACTCGTTCTATCCCTTTCATGCGGCACGTCCGGGGTGCAGGTGGGAGTAATGATTCTGGCGTGTTTGGGGAAATCTGCCAACTGCCCCGGTACAGTATGCGGGAGTGGGCCAGCCGAGCTAGCGTAGCGTGTGTCAGCATTCGATGCAGTCTAGGTCTACGTGGTGAGTTCTCCTTCGACCCGGTAAAATGGGTCCCAACAGTTGCCCCCGTCTTCTCGGCAAATATATGGATGAGTCCGGAAGTCGAAGCTTCATTAGCTTCCTGTAAAACGAAGCGAGAAACTCAGGAACTCATCAAAGCCGTGCCGCGCATCCCAGGGGGATACGTTTCTGGCTAGATGGTCCGGACTTCCGAGGAAGTTAGATAGGGTATAGAATTCGACCTTGGTGCGCTCCGCGATGGAAGGCGCCCTTAGCCGAAGAAGTAGTCCAAAACAGATTCTCAACTCCGACCTTATTCATTTATCCCGGAGGAGCACGTTATTGGTCAAGAGAATTTTACTTCCGAGAAAGTGAGCGGCAGGGCAAGTCTTATTAGATGTCAATTCCGACCTTACTCGCATTCGAGGAAGTACGTTAGTGATCGAAGGAATTATACTTCCGGAGGAAACGAACCGTGAGACGGTCAGATTAAATATATATAGAAAGACTCGTCCAGTCTACGTTACACATCCAGTGGAGTACTAAAGAGGACATCTCAACGGAACAAGACTTAACTGAGTCACAACTACAAGATTCTCAAGAATTAGAAATACCGGTTCAAAACAAAGAAGTCATGACGAGACAAAGAGCGCGTTCACTTCAAAAAAAATACAACCAAGCCATTCTTCAAGCCATGACCACATCCAATCAAGGAAGCCAAAGTCTTATGATGAAATATGCATAGACCGATACATTGGACATTATTGAAGTTGCGGATCCAACAAAAACTGAAGAAAGCTGGCCCTTAATAACAAGTGAAGCCCACAACAATATTTTTATCATTCAAGACCAAGCCAGCTAAAAACGGTCAAAGCTAGCAAATCATTCGGATTGAAAGCAAGCAAACAAGGTAAGTGTTTAAGTTAATTCAATCATATTTGTTATCTTGACTAATCCCAAACTTTTCTCCCTTTGATTTGCATTAGCTTAATTATTTGATTTAGTTTATGTAATTTTTCTTTAATGCTCTTATGTATTTTCGGTCTTGCTCTTTTGTATTTTTTCTTTATTTTCATAAGCTGAAGAATAAGGTTCTCATGCAGCATTGTAATCGGTTACTTTTGATTTTCTAATAAAAATACCGAATTTTCTTTCACAAAGATTGTTAACAAATCTTGTGTTCTTTCTCTAAATTTTGTTGAGACCAGCACCTCCAAATTTATAGAGAAGTTTTTGTGTTGTATCAAAGGGAAATCCATAGCCTTTGTGGTACACTTCGATCCACCCGGTCCTTATATTCATCCTATCCGACCACCGGCTCAATCGTTTGAGTTCCTCGACCATTCGGTCAAACTCCATCGTCCCACCATTCAGTTATTCGTCCCACTCGTACCATCCCACATTCCACTCGTACCAGCCCGTCCCACGTTCCAGACGTTCTATCCCATTCCACTCATACCATCCCGCGTCCCACCCGAACATTGGTCCCATAGCCTGAGTTCCTCGGCTCTTCGATCCATAACCCTCGTCCTACTCAACCACTCGTCCAATTCTTGTATCATTTTGGTATCAGAGCTGAAATTCCTTTCAGCCCCCAGGTTGCATCTATCTAATCTATCGTTTCTTGCATTTCATAATTGATTTCAGTACATTTTCTTATTTTTTTAAAAAAAAAAAGCCGTACATATTTTATTGCATAATCATTTATAAAAGTAAAAAAAAAGGATTCCTTGTTCATCTCATTTCATTGCATCCAATCCATTATATTTAATCTCATTCTTTCGGAAAATTTGTTATTCTAGCTTTTGTCATATTTCTCATTACATTTAGTTTTCTGAAACCCGAAAAGTCAAAAAAAAAAAAAAATTAGTCTTCCATTTAGTTGATCATAGTTTCCCGTTTTACTCCAATTACTTATTGAAGTTGTTTGTAACGTGTTTTCCATATCTATCTTTAAGTCAGTCCATAATAATCGTTATTGCCATTAGTCTTTGAACTAAAAGACTATTCTTAATCCAGTCTTAATTTGTGTTTAATCTAAGGTGAAAGATGGGAGAAGAATCCAGTAATGCTCAAGACCCCACCACCTTTATGATGGCCATGATGAGAGAAGAATTTCAAGCCTTTAAGCAAGAAATAGGAGAACGCCTTACCCGTGTGGAGCAAGCACCCCGTGGTCCCTTACAGCCGGTTAGAAACGTTGGGGGTCTCGGCACCAACAACTTTCCTAGAGCCACCCCAACAAACGGAGCTAACCCAAGGCACAATGGCATCCACATTAATGAGCCCGTTGATGGAGACCCGAGACACAATGACGACTCTCAAGAGGACGATGAAGAGCCACCTCCCCAGCACAACCATGGCCGTAGACGACGAGTACCAAAAGACGATTATGGCGTTGAAGCAGAAGAAGAATATGCACCTAATCAAAGACCAAATCATATCAACATCAAGCTTACCGCATCAAACTTTGCTGGCAAAGTTGATCATGAAGCTTATCTTGAATGGGAAAAGAGGATGGGCCACTTATTTGATTACTATGATCATCCTGGCCCCAAGAGAGTAGCCCTAGCCGTAGCTCAGCTCACGGACAACACCCTCATTTGGTGGGATATAACCGTAGCTGACCGCAGGAGAAACCGTCAAAGAGCCATTGACTCGTGGCTAGACATGAAAGACATCATGCTCCAAAGGTACATTCCTCCCCATTTCAATAGAGACTTACAACGCAACTTTAGTACTCATAAACAGGGAACTAGGTCAGTAGAGGAGAACTATGAAGAATTTGAGCGCTTGAGGAACCGCTTGGAGCTTCATGATGACGAAGAAGCCTTGATGGCACAATTCTTAGATGGGTTACTAGAACGAATCAACCGCAAAGTAGAAAGGCAGGCTTATCAAGACTTCAAACATCTTTTCCATCTAGCTATACAAGCCGAACAACATATCAAGTGAAAGTCTAGTATCACTCGGAGCAAGCCTCAAACACCATGGAATCCCAACGCTAACAAGCCTCTAGATAAGGGCAAAGGCATTGAGATAGACTCACGGTACAAAGGGAATGTTCCAAATACCACCAAAGACAAACGCTCCAAAGCAGGTAAGTCTACTAACCCTCAACGTTCTAGAGATATAACGTGTTTTAAATGTAGAG